TTAAGCGAATGACCAGAGCTCCTTGAGCTCGCGGTACGACTGCACAACGGTCACCTGGCGACACTCAGACATAGTTTTAAATATAAATATACGATGATATTGGTTGCCATTGGCCTTTGTTTCACCGAAAGTGACCTTCTTGTCCTTCTTCTTCAGGACCGGCTTGACCTGCAACGTATACGGTTACTACTGTATGTAAGCAGCAAAGTACGCATCGCCTCCGGAGTCGCAGAAGAAGCCGCCTCGCCGACAAATGAATCTTAAAAAAAAAACTGCAGGTGAATTTATTCGGCGCCTTCTCTCCGTCTCGAAGACGTTTCTGGAATTCCTAGGCCATGTACTATCTAACTTAATATATATACATATGCTCATATACATATACAATTATCAGGCAAACTAAGAGCGTGGCCATCGCCCGGACATTTTTGCTCCATTTGGTGTGCGGGGACGGCTTGTTCTTGCCCATTTTCCCTGCAGAGAAAAGGTGGAGTAGGTACATTCATTATGCATTAGCTAAGCAGAACAAAGAGACAAGCCTTCGGCGTATAGGAGAACCGCACGGAAAATAATTACGAGATCGTCTTGAGCATAAAGCTCATGATTCATGCATTCGCTCTTGACATACCATCTAGACTGTGCACATAAACGGATGACGTAACACATTTAAACACTTCAGGAGAGACAACCTTCATCCACATGCAAAGCACAGAGCTTGTTCTAATCTGCTCGATATTATGAACTTCCTAACGGCTTTTAGTCTCAAAGTTCAGAGCATTCTAAATTCTGAACATGAAAACTTCAACTTTAAATCCTAAACCCTACACCTCAAACCTTAAGCACTAAACCATACCTTTAAAAATATATTCTCTTTTGTTTATGTTTTGAGCAATATCTGAAGTAAAGAAGCATTGCATTTACCTCACGTACTGACATAAGCATATTTTGTATTTCTCACTGCTTAAAGGTTTAAAGTTTAGGGTTCAAGGTTCAAGGCGGTGGCTTTAAGGCTGGAGGTCTAGGTGTGAAAGAGTTCAAGCAAGCTACACCTCAGAGAAAACATGACTGTCTGGAAGTGAGAGCACACAAAGCCTTTTCCACACCTTCTGAAAATCCTCACGCCGGCTTCCATTCGGGCGTTCCCGCACCTTACAGGCAAGGGTTAGCTTGTAGTTGAACACGTGATTTGTGCGGCCATAAAAAAAGAAAACGGCCACGACAGCCACAACGACAACAACGATCAACACGACCATCGTCATCACAGTCGTCACGAACACCACCACGAGCAGAACCACTACTACCACCACCACGAGAACAATAACAACAACCGCAACAACGACGACCACGACGGCAACTGCAACGACTATATCTACAAAACGCGACAACCGCCAGCACCACCACCACCGCCACAGACCAAAAAAAAACGGCAACAACAACAACAACAACAACAACAACAACAACAACAACCACAATAACCACAACAACCACAACCACAGCAACCACAACAACCACAACAACCACAACAACAACAACCACAACAACAACAACAACAACAACAACAACAACAACAACAACAACAACAACAACAACAACAACCACAACAACAACAACAACAACAACAACAACAACAACAACAACAACAACAACAACAACAACAACACCAAAAAGCAACAACAACCACAACAACAACAACAGCAGCAACAACAACAACAACAACAACAACAACAACAACAACAACAACAACAACAACAACAACAAGAACAAGAACAAGAACAACAACAACAACAACAACGACAACAACAACAACAACAACAGACCGTGAGTTAACCTTTTCCTGTAAAATTAAACACACAGTGCTGTAAATATAATATGAAAACCATCACACAAACAAATATAAACTCTATAGCATTAGACACAGTGGACCGATAACAGTCCCACCGTGTCTAGATGAGGAGTTGGCGAGATATATTGAAACAAAGAATGGGGGGAGACGGCGGACCGATAACAGTACCACCGTGTTCGGGGACCGATGTCAGTACCCCGCTTTCCCGAAGGCCGATAGCAGCACTCCGAGTTAATGCACAACGGTGAGAAAGCATTATTATAATTATTGCCTCTATGACTATATTATTGAAAATGCTCTTTATACTACCTTTCATTTGTTATTGATGTCAGATTAAATCATGTTCCGGTCTGTAGGAGATGTTACTCCTAGATGCCTTGAACCCTGACTTGTACCGATGATATCTTGGTTGTTGCGTGGAAGCATCTTACGAAAGACGCACAACCATCTTCTCCTTAAAAACCCTGAACCCTGAACCCCAAACCCTAAACCTTATAGTCACTCTTCTGAGTGTGTCCGTTCGAAGCCTCAATCCTGCCATTAAGGTTTAGGGTTTAAGGCTTCGGGTTTAGAGTTTAGGGTCTTGAACAACTTAGCTTCGAAACCCTAAACCCTATCCCCTTGACTAGAAATAAAGTCAGTGGACCCTTCGCTTGCGCAAGCCATCAGCTCAGCCTCTAAAAGGCAAGCTTCGGCCGATGTCAAAACTGAATAACCACAACTCAGTAATGAGATGTGTTCATGTCCCGATTTAAGGTTTAGGGTTTAAGGTTTAGGGTTTAGGGTTTAGGGTTTAGGGTTTAAGGTTTAGGGTTTAAGGTTTAGGGTTTAGGGCTAGGGCTAAGGGTTTAGGGTTCAAGAAATAGAAGCCCAGACACCTAGAACTGTAAACCCCGCATAGCGCTAAGCTGAAAACCTACATATAGTCATATACACTCTTTTAATATTTAGGAAGCAAACAAATTTAAATAATTAAAATAACTAAATTATTCGAATTAATTGAATTCTGGTGCCTCCTCAAGAATTTACATAATTCTATGATTTTAATTTCTTTAATATTGTAGCCTTAGCCAGACAATTTAAATAATTTAATCAAATAATTCAATTAATTGAATTATTTGTATTCTGGGAGAGGCCCCAGAATTCAATTAATTCAATTATTTTAATTCCTTTGATCCCGGGCCTCAGCCAAACCATTTAAATAATTCAATTAATTCAATTAATTCAATTAATTCAATTAATTATAATTATTTGTATTCTGGGGGAGGCCCCAGAATTCAATTAATTCAATTAATTTAATTAATTGTATTCTGGGAGAGGCCCCAGAATTCAATTAATTCAATTAATTTAATTAATTGTATTCTGGGAGAGGCCCCAGAATTCAATTAATTCAACTAATTGAATTATTTGAATTCTGGGGGAGGCCCCAGAATTCAATTAATTTAATTAATTGAATTAATTAAATTAATTGAATTAATTGAATTATTCAATTGGTCTGGCTCAGGGCCAGAGATTCAAAGAATTCAATTAATTGAATTAATTGAATTCTGGGGGAGGCCCCAGAATTCAATTAATTCAATTATTTTAATTTCTTTGATCCCGGGCCTCAGCCAAACCATTTAAATAATTCAATTAATTCAATTAATTCAATTAATTCAATTAATTAAATTATTTGTATTCTGGGGGAGGCCCCAGAATTCAATTAATTCAATTAATTTAATTAATTGTATTCTGGGAGAGGCCCCAGAATTCAATTAATTCAATTAATTGAATTATTTGAATTCTGGGGGGGGCCCCAGAATTCAATTAATTCAATTAAATGAATTAATTGAATTAATTGAATTAATTGAATTATTTAATTGGTCTGGCTCAGGGCCAGAGATTCAAAGAATTCAATTAATTGAATTAATTGAATTCTGGGGGTGGCCCCAGAATTCAATTAATTCAATTATTTTAATTCCTTTGATCCCGGGCCTCAGCCAAACCATTTAAATAATTCAATTAATTCAATTAATTCAATTAATTCAATTAATTAAATTATTTGTATTCTGGGGGAGGCCCCAGAATTCAATTAATTCAATTAATTTAATTAATTGTATTCTGGGAGAGGCCCCAGAATTCAATTAATTCAATTAATTGAATTATTTGAATTCTGGGGGAGGCCGAATTAATTGAATTATTCAATTGGTCTGGCTCAAGGTCAGAGATTCAAAGAATTGAATTAATTGAATTAATTGAATTCTGGGGGGGGCCCCAGAATTCAAATAATTCAATTAATTAAATTAATTGAATTCTGGGGCCCCCCCCAGAATACAATTAATTCAATTAATTAAATTATTTGAATTCTGGATATCCCCCAAGAATTCAATTAATTCAATTGATTCAATTATTTAAATTTGTTTGCTTCCATAAATATTAAAAGAGTGTAAATGACTCTTATATTTGATATATAAAAGAAAACCAGTGGCAACATAGTACATAAAGGTCCCTCTCTCATACATATATACATATATACATGTATACATATATACATATATACATATATACATATATACATATATACATATATACATATATACATGTATACATGTATACATGTATACATGTATACATATATACATATATACATATATACATATGTACATATATATATATATCTGTCTCTCTCTCTCTCTCCCTCTCTTTCACGCTCTCCCTTTTCTTTTTCTCTCTGGATATCCCATTCAATGTTCTGTTCTCAATGCCGTCCTCTGAAGCACTCCACGGGACTTCAATTCGGCAGAGGCGCCTCAGAATCAGGACCGAGACTGCTGGAATCTTCCACAGTTTGACCTGTCCTTAAATGAGATGCACGGGTCCATGTTGCTTTCAATGCTACTTGTAGGTGTTAGGCACTCCGCAGGGCTTCAGATCGCCCGCCAGAAGCGCCTTCCGTGCAATACATGTAAGGAATATTGGAGTGTCTGGGTGTCCGAGTGTCTGTTTTGCACGGTGCCTCATCATTGTTACCATGGCTTCTGTCGTTATCAGTTCCATCAGCGATATCATGCTTCTTGTCGTCATGGTTGCTATCCTTGTTTTTCTTTACTGCTGATACTATTGCTGCCAATATTGGTATTATGGTAGGTTTTCCTTGAACCGTCGTTCGTGTTGTTCTCTTATGCTTCTTATTGTGGTTGCCGCTCAATTCGTTTGTGTTTTCATCCCTGGGCCTCAGCGCGACGGCACCAGCACCGCACCTCCGGCGAAGCCGCGGCCGCCTGCAGTGAAGACGCTGGCACGAAAAACAGGCCAAGCTGGGGAGGGGCGGGGTTTTGGGGCTTTTGGGGGTTTGGGAGTTTGGGGTTCAGAGTTTCGGGTTGGGGCGGCTTGGCTTGGGGGACTAGAGCTCGAGATGGGGAGGTTTGCACCAAAAAGTTTGAAAACCCACACACCGCAGATATGGTCCTGGTTCAATGGCCACTCGCACATCAGACCCTTCATATCGGGGTTGTGAGCATTTTGAGAAAGGGCCGTTCGGGGGATCCCTTTAAGGAATCTGTCGATTCTGAGGGAGGTACCGCAATTTGGGAGATGCCCGTCTTCGCTTCAGGAGCCTCAACCGCCCCTGAAGTCAGGCCCTTTGGCCGGCAGCCGCCAGAAGCTTGAGCGATCAGTGGAGACCTGGCTACAGCTCGGCACCTTGCGAAGACCTCTGGGCCCCTCCCCCCAAGGGCCGGCTCAGGGACGCGGAGGGTTTTGGGTTTTGGGAATGGCTTGACTCACGCGACGACCTTAAGCCAAGTCATCCCGCAGTAGCAACCTCAGCAGCAAGTTGGCCGAGTAGCAGATCTGCGTGGGGTTCGACGTAAACCAGCCTTAAGACCGTCCCGAGCCTCCAAGTGGAATTCCGAGCTTCGTCCCCAGACCTGGCCTCTCAGGAGTACTGGCGCTCGCTGGGGCGGCACGATGCATCGGAGGAGGAGCCCCCTTAAACTCGTCGCCCTTCAAGAACTTAAGGCCGTGGTCTATTCAGGGCTGTGGGCTTGGTTTGTCTGTAGGTGCTGTAGCTGTTTGAGGCCGTTTGCGGCTTGCTTGGGAAGCCACACCCAAATTGGACCTCAAGGCCCTTGTAGCATCCTTCCAAACCCTAAGTACATCCCCCCAAGCCAAAGAAACCCCAAGTCCATGAAACCGGGAGGACCTTCCCCTGCATGCGGCTCTCACGAGGTGATGGACTTGCAGATGCCGTGTCTGTGGGGAACCGGGCACGGAGCGCTTTGCTTCTCATCCTTGCCAGGGCGACGCAGAACCTGCGCCCACGCAGTGCCCCAGCCAAGCGCTTATGCCAGACGTTTGCAACGTATGTACAGTAGGCTTTGCACTGCAAGGGTTTGGGACCCTTTCAAAGTTGTCGGAAACTACCGATAAAGTATGTAGAAGATTCAATGCAGTATCTGAGGCTGCCAGGCGCCCGACACCTCGGCCCTCGAAGAGGTGCTTGAGGGAGCACAAGCTTGCTGATGTTCCCCGAGCCCCGAGCTTTGTTTCGAGTTTTTTGTATTGGCCTCAGCTGACGGAGCAATCTTACAAGGGCGAGTTGCTGAGCCGTTTATGCCTGAACGCTAGAAGGCCTGCGCCCTGATCCCTCTCAAAAACCTGATACATCCCCTTTACATCGCCGGAATCGGGAGCGGTTCTTCATCGTAACGCTGAGAGTTTGTAAGAAAAAATTGGTTGACATCGGTGAATCCAGGATTCAATGTTTGGTAGCAGGCTCTAACAGCCCCTAAAGCCGAATAGAAGCCCCAAGCCCCAAAAATCCCCGATCCGAAGTAGAGGCCCTAGAGCCGGAACTCTTGTGGAGGCCAGAGGCCTCGCCATGGGGGTGGAGGAAGGTGCAGCCCAACGACGAGGATTGGCCCCATAGTTGTTGGGCAGAGTGTTCATATGTTAGGGGCTAGGGGTAACGGTATAGAGCTTGGGGTGTTGGAGTGGCTGACGGGCGCAATTTGGGGCCGTTTGTAGGCTTAGTTGCTGCTTTGCAGTTGCGGAGACCCCTTCCCAACAGGGCACGCGATGTTTGGAAACGGTGCAAACATTTCCCGGTCTGTCTGCTCGGCACCCACTTTCTCGCAGCAGAACACTTATAGCAGCTTGTCCGGGCAACATACTGGAGACGATGCTTGGAGACGGTGCAAACCCTATTTCTTACCCAGGTGTGCTTTGTATTCCTTTTTGTCAATACACTGTAACTTTGTCTCAAGGGACCTTATAGGGCCTAAATCCCGAAACCCGAAAAAACCGGTTGCAGAGAAGGCGGGCGGGCAACTCGTGCCCTGTCTCACCCTGAAAGACCCAGAACCCTGCCAGATGCAGCACAAGCCCCTCAACCTTACTCCAATCCACGATACCCAGATCTAAACATAGCTTGATTGAGGAACGCTTTTTCAGGCATGTATCATGTATGGGATTCTTTCTTAAAGGTTTAGGGTATCTTCCTTACATGAACGCTGGAACCAAAGCTCACCGGAGATTGGGGTCATGGGGGGTCGCTCCAGGCATCGACGTTGTCGGCGTGCCCGACGCCCTTGGCAGTGCTTTTGGAGAAACCGATTGAAGTCTTTCGGGCTTTAGACATTGCTAGTCGTATGGCTCCGCTTGAACCGCATCCCGTTCCGCAGGGTGATGGGAGCCGCCATCGGCCACCGTTCTCGTCCCTGCTTTTTGGGTGCGGACACTTGGAGGGCTTTGCGGCTCAGCGCGTGGCATGCAGGCGTCACCCGCCCCGAGTTCGTGGCAAGGTCGACGACAGGATGCGCAACATGTCCGTCACACGTGGTGACTTGGCGACACACGTGTAGTTTTCGAGGAATTCCGACAGGAAAGGACACCAACCAAACCTTCGACTCGTCTGATTCTTTTCACACAACCGCTCCGGACACCAAGCAGCTCCTGCTTTAAGGACCCTTGCGTGCCGTTGTACAGTTGCAAAGCACTGTGTGATTCGTATGCGGTCGTGTAGACATGATGAGCCCATGAGAGAAAGCCGTTCAATTGCGCTTGGGATTTCCTTTTGAAGTTCAGCTGGCTGCCCCACAACTCGCCAGGCTGCGAGCACAGCAACGTCACTGGCGCAGGCCCCACCTCAGGGTTCCAACCTGTCCCACCTCCTTGCCGCGTGAGGCTTTTGGCTTGAGCTGCCGGGCGTTTCTTTACACGGTAGATACACCATGCACACAAACCCTGAGCTCGTATCATTGAATGATCACAATATATGGGGATCCGTCCCTGCCCTGGCATTTGCCGAAGGAGATCCAGCATGAGCTTACTCGCCTGCCGCGGACTTTTGGGGTGTGTCTTTGAGGTGTGTTGGGTTGCACATACGGCACAGTGCGCAGCCGGCGCCATTGCTTTGGTTCACATGGCTTTCTGCATGCTGAGCGATTTTTGGAACATCTGCCATGAGGCTGCCTTCGCTGAGTGGTACCCTTTTGCTTCTTGTGTCTGGCTTCCCTTGCAAGGCTACCCTTTTCATAATGTGTCTACTGGGCTACCAAGTTCTGTAAAGTCTTCCCAAAACCCTCAGCCTGGACCCCCCGAACCCTGAGGTCTTGCTCCACACCGTCGCTGCTCTCGAACCCCAGGCCCAAGTGAATGCTACAGACGGCTACACGAGAACAGCAACACAATGCAGCCAAAAAAGTGACCCCTACGTGCCCTAAACCTCAATGCGACTCTAACCAATTCCAATCTTCGCTTGCCGACTGGCGGAGGGCATCGTAAGAATGGCACAGGGAATAGCGCAGGCGCTCGCGCCCAGCCGAGCATAGCCGAGCATAGCTCCCAGTAGCTCCCAGTAGCTCCCAGGGCTCCTGAGGAGCTTCCTGTGGCACGCTTTCGTGGAAGCTAAGTAGCACTGCACTGCACCTCGTCCAAGAGTCAAAGATGCCCTCCGTCACGATCACAATGCCACGTATTTGATCGGGAGGCAACCTCGCAGACCAGGGAGTTCATAGTCCCATCGGCTCGAGAGTCAGCTTGAGAGCTGCAGCTACTTTCGAGTCAACCATGGCGAGAAGGAGACAAGAGCAACTCGCAACTACCAAGCCACAAACGACAACCCTTGGGCTACACATCTATCGACAGACGGATTGCTTTGGCTGTCTTGCAAAAGGGGGTTTAGGCTTCATGTCTAGCCATGTCTAGCTGGTCTGCCAAGCTACCGTAGGTCCCGTTTTCATTAACGCTTCTTGGTGCAGAGACTTCCAAGCAGCTGGGTTGTGGGATGTTGTGGGTTAAGATTTTGGTTTACAGCAACAATCTCTCACAACTTCGGCAGAGCTTTCCGAAAGTTTCCGTGCTGCGCTGTTGAGAGAGGGGCTGGCCCCATTGAACCGCTGTTCGTTTGCAGTTGGAGTCCCGCACCTTGGAGCAGTCGATGAAGCGCTGTAGAGGGAGGCAGGTGGAAAAAGAGGGTCTTAGACCCGTCTTTCCACTGCGCTATGGGTTGCGACTCAGCGATGTTCTGCCCACAGGGGCTTACACTGAGGGCAACAGGCAACAAGCGCTCCCGATTAGCTGCTCATAAAATTTTAAGCAGATTTAGAGAAGTTAGCGATCCAGGCCTGGCCACTGCATACAGAGCGTTCAGTGCACAACTGCTGCAGTTGCGAGATCAGCTCCTCTGAGCCTTGCAGATCCCGACGCCAATACTTATGCACAAGTCAACAATATGACATAAAAAAATGACCACAAAGACTTCCGGGTTCCCTTCCCGAAGTCCTTCCTTCTTCGCACTTGTATGCATTCCACTGCTTTATGCTGAGCCCAAAAGAACCCTTCATACAAAAGCACCCTTTAAAAGCCCTCTGAAGCCTTGCATGCAGTGGCTCAAAGCCATTCTATAGGCCCCGTGGGGATTTCCCTACGACAAAAAAAGTGCTGCGGGCTTGGACCGATCGGAGCGGCGACCGCCAGAGGACGGTTTTAAGGGTCCTTTGAGGGCAAGGAGTTTAAAGGGGAGGCTTTCGAGCATCCTCATCTAGGAAGCTTGCATCGGAATAGGGAACTAAGTGGACTTATATCAAGTCTTTTGGGCGAAGCCTGGAGCTGCCTCTCAAATGTCCTGGAGCATTCCGAGATGAGCTTCGAGACTTTCGGATCTTGCGTTTGAGTCTCAAAAGTATCGAGCAGCTCCGTAAATTGTTTTACACTTTTCAGCTTCCATAATAAGTGTCGAGGGTTTGTTGATATCGGGCCTCTGATGTCATCGTGGTTCGAGTCCGGCCCTGCGCATCACGGAGTGCTCGCGCAGATGGCCCCTCGCACGACTGGACGAGGACAGAGAGCGAAGGGTGCGCAAACTGCGCCGTGGTTCTTTGGGTGGGGGGAGCCTGGGGCCATCTGGGGCCTGTGTGGAGCGAGAGCTTTGGGTAGGTTGTCGCGCTGTTTGGACTGCAGATTTTCCACGGGCAGCCATTGCCACAGGCATGTCGCTGTCCGCGCTGGGCCACCAGCACCACCTGACTGCAGAAAGGCACCTTGCGACCCCGGCGCAGACTGCACAGAACCGGACAACCGGGCCGAGCCCATTTTACGAGGAGAGTGGCTCTGTCGCCTGTATGGTACGCACCCCCATCTATAGGCAAGGGTCTCCTCACTCTGCAGCACCCAAAGAGGACTTAGGGGCCATTCTGTCCGCCATTCTGTCCAGCACAGCCAGCAACCATGGGACAAAAAGGGATATGATGAAATCTGCATGCACCTGCCGATGAAGGCCTTTTGTGCTGCAGGCAAGACAGCCCAAGAGAATGAAGCCGAAAGTGCACCTCTGAGCTCAGTCGGTGGAGAGGTGAAAGGGCGAAGGTTCTGGTTTCTGAGCTCCGTTTCTGCTCCTTTCCCTCGCTCATGCCATGGAAGCAAAGCGTCGACGAGTGAGGGTTTTTCGGGAATGCATGATTTGTCGGGAGGACAAGGGCCCCAGCGATTTTCCTGGCAAGGTCACTGATGGCTGCAGCCATACCCGCGACGTGTGTCGGCCTTGTATGGCACGCATCATCCGCATGGAAATCAGCGTGAAGGGACAGGCAGCTGAAGTAAAGTGCCCTACTTGTTCAATGGCGCTCGCCTTGTCAGATGTGGCTCGCGAAAGCTCTCAAGAAGACGCAGATCAGTTGGACAAGTTCCTGTTGCAAAGGGCCTTGTCGCAAGAGCCAAACTTTTGCTGGTGCGCGCACGGGTGTGGAGTTGGCCAGGTGCTTGACGAAATTGGCCGAAACATTTTCATGACGTGCCAGCAGTGCTCACAGCGCACCTGCACACATCATCGATCCATTTGGCATGATGAGCTGACATGTGCTGAGCACGACCACCAGCAGACTTGTAGGGAGCGTTATTCCTTCACAGTGGACAACAGTATCTTGCAGTCCACATCAAATGGAGTTGTTTACCGTCGGTCTCCGCAGTTGGAGGCCAAGGCTAAAGGTGTTGCAGAATGGGGCACATGCGTACATGGATTCTTGCACTCATCCGACTGGGTGGCAGTTGGTGATCTTTTCTTGCCAACAGCAATTCGGAGAGTTCGAGTGCTTCAGCCTCGGGCCGAGTCATATCAGGTCGACAACGCGCTGCTGCAGTCAAGCAGAAGCGGCGTGCGCTACCGGACTTCCCCAAACCTGGAGGATGCCACCTCTGAGATTGCCGAATGGGGATCCTTCGTGAAGGGAACTCCCGTCGATCAGAATTGGATCAAGGTGGACTCTGAGGACTCTGAGGACTCTGCATTCCTTCCAATATGCATTCGAGGCCTTCGAGTTCTGAAGCTCCAGGGAGGCCTCGGGCAGTACATGCAAGAGAAGAAGGTGCAGCGCTGCCCCAGCTGCCATCAAGGCATCGAGAAGAAGCACGGCTGTGACCACATGAAATGCCCATGTGGCGCTGAGTTCTGTCATGTTTGTGGTGCTGACTATTTGGGCCCGGATGGCATCTTCTCCGTGGGGAATCACATGCACAAAAAGACGTGCCGGCACTACAGGCCATGGAGGACATGATGTGCAGAGGCCTTGACGTGTTTCCAACCTGTTCGCGGATATGGCCTCGCGGCCTCGCTAAGCAGAACTGCGTCCTCGCCCTCTTGACTCGAAGCCGGCGGCTGGCCACATCGGTGGGGAGCGAATGTCCGAAAGTTGCTGCTCCGGCGAGGCGACAACTGGCCCTTGACCCAAAGAGAGTCAGGCGTTGCAAGCTTCAAGTTTGGATGCCAGGCGGCGTGGTTTTTGTGGATGCTTTGAGGTTCTTCAGGTCGCGGATCAAAGGTTCTATCTTCAGCCGTAGGTTGTCAGAGTAGATTCGCGTCAGTCGCCATCGAACCCAGACCGCTAGGCCTTTTCAGTTTCTGTGAAGTGTTAGTGTGTGCTTCAGAACATGAAGCTTCGGCTTTGGGCTTTGGGGTTCAGGGATGTTCGATTATTGTTATGACAAGTTCTTATGGTAAATGTAGTCATTATCGATCATTGCCTTTCTTAATGACATCTAGTTACGGTGAGTACTAGCTATAAGGTTCAGGATAGAAGTGTTGGGCCGCCTAGACCGACACGTTGTTGAGCCCGTCTTTGGCCCACATGAAGCAAAGAACTTTCCTTGGAGACCACATGACCATCACTATGCGGGTATTACGATGGTCTTCAGATCACTGTTGACATTATTGTTCTTAGGATTGCGACTAGGGTACGCCATGGTTAGTATCAGTATCATGCAAAGAAGAAGCAAAAGGCACTTGGGAACACACAGAACAGCTCGCGAGCGTGCGCCGCTCTTTCGACGCGCTGTTGTGATGGGAGGCGTCCCAGAGGGCATATGCACAACGTCCCACGTGAGGTAAGCCCTGATTATGACTGTTGTGAGTGTACATGTTGCTCCATCTGAATACTGGCGAGTGTTTATGTTAGGGTGTTGTTTGGAGGTACGAGCAATAAGAATCCCACCTCACACCATCCCCTAAAACGTGCAGGCGGAGCGAGCAAGGATGCGGAGGAGAAGCAGCGAAAGTTGCAGAATGAGGCCGGACATGTTTTGGCTCTGCTTTTCGCAGATGGGTATACTGCCTCACAGGGCCCAGCCGTCTGGGGTCCTTGCTGTACTTACCGCACAGACCCCGCGCTGACACGCCTGGGTCCTTCTGGTTCTCGCTTAGGCCTATCACGTTCTAAACCCAGCCCTCCAAACTAAACGAAGAAGCTCTTATGCTGGGAGTCCTCTTTGGAGCAAGGTCCGTGAGCTGCAACAGAAGCAGAAGCAACTCGAGGATGAGAAGAGGCCCCGCCACCTCGTTCAATCTTGATTGGAGGGTTCAGCGTGGTGGGCTTTGAGGTGCAAGCTCGGTCATGCCCAAGAGTGAGAGCCAGTGAGAGCCAGTGAGAGCAGGCAGCAGGAGCAAGCGCTCCTCGATGAGCAGAGCCCTGGCACAAGACTCTTGAAACGGGGGGTCTTTGAAGCCCCCGAAACTCTGGAGGCTGCAGCCAAGAGCACTTCCATTAACGGGGAGGGCTTTCAGCAGTGTATCTTACTACATGATAGTATTCCGCTCGCCGGCCGTCTTGCTTCACATCGTTTGCCTTGCGGGATTCTGTTCCCTCAACACTTGCTGTGAATGATGAGAGTGGGTACGGCAGCTACAGGCATGCCGTTCTGACACGGGACTGAAGTTGCGCTCGGGGCTCCGCAAGTCTGCATAGGAGTTCGAAAGTTCCCTAAGAGCACCTGAGCCTTCAACCCCTGAGTTGAAAGGGATGCAATTCTCACTGAGGAAGCGCCTGGAGCAGCTGAAAGAGGAGCAGGACAAGGTGGGAGGGATTCGTTTCTTCGGGTTTATGCCAGCGGGGGGTTTTGTTGAACAAATTTTCCAGACCCTACATTGCAAAAAAACATGCACCCTAACCTTTGTAAGCTAAAAGCGTGCCGCTCCGAAAAAGGAGTCCTCGAACCCCCCTACAGAAACCTAACAACCCAACCCCCCGCCCCTTTGTGGAGCCATATGAACGCCAGGCTAAGGAGGAGCGCGATGCGGCCGCGGCAGCTTGGCGGCGCATCAGCCTACAGGGTTTAGGGCTTGGGAGCCTTGAAACCGAAACCTCAGGGTGTAGGGGTAGGGTTTCTGGGGGTTTTTTAGGGCTTGGGTTAGGGTTGGGGATAAGGTACCGGCGTGTAGAGAGGGTTTCGGTTTGGGGCATGAGACGCAAGAGCTCCCCTCCCCTTCAGCTTGTGAGGCCGAGCTGAAAGCCATGGCCGAGCAGCGAGATGGCCTGGAGGTCACTTGGGGGGGGCTTCGGGTGTTTCAAGGGCCCTGAAGCTTAAGAAGCCCTAATGGGCATTTTCCAAAATGGGGACCCGCTTGCTTACCCCGAATCATGATTTTTTTTGGGACCCCCTATCGGATCTCCCAGACGGGCTTTCAGAGTCTTTTCCTGCAAGGAGCAAGTTGCGGCCGCCCGGCAGGAAACAGAGCAGCTGAAGGTGGGCTCTGCGCTCTTTTCTGATTGGGCCCTTGGGGCACGTGGGGGGGCGGGGGGGGGGGGGCCCACCACAAATCTGCTCGTAATCTTGTCCTGAGTCTTTTCTTGAAAGACGGGAAGAGAGGAATGCCAAGGGCTGTCAGCCCACCGCAAACGGACTTGAAGGCTCTGGGCTTCGGCTTTAGCTAGGTTTGCTTGGGGCGAATTGCGGCTAAGGGCTGAACATGACAGCCTTTTCGTGGCGCATCTATCTCTCTTGATTTCGCATTCCAGTTCTGCTGCGTTAGGGCATAGCATGTTTGTAGCCCCGTGCGCCCGGAGCCATCAGACCCAGAGCCCCCATGAGTAGAGAGCTGCGGCCAGGCCCTGATACCGGCCTCGGAGTTGCCCGAGGAGATCTGGAGGGCACTTTTTCGGGGCTCAGTTTCCATCATGGGCCCTCTGAGTCCTGCAGTCGGGCAACTTTTTCTTTTCAGGTTCCAACGGGGATTGGTGGGGTGTATACGGAGGTCCCGCGCATGAGTCGACCAAGACTTGTGGATGGGTTGTTTGTCCCCTGGCAAAGAGAGGGTTTTGGGTTTAAGGTTCCTGGGCGTGCGCTGGCAAGCCTTCGAGAGGACACCAAGCTGAAAGAAATCCACGAGCTTGAGGAGCAGTCCAAGGTGGCGTTGGTGGATCTTAAGCCTCCAAAACCTTTAAAACCCACATAGCGCAATCTTAATCCCCCATCCAGTGCTTGTACGGGCTTTTGTGCCCAACCTTGGTGATGAAAGCAATGAGAGTAGTCCTTTGTGACGATCTCTTCACACTTGATGGCATGCACATGAAATTCTTGACCCCTCTTCAGCGAAAGTATGGAGTAGTCCGCTTGTGGCTGTCTGTGGAATATCGGGTGACATGTGCGGGAGGGTTGGGCAGCAAGATGTGATATGCTCCTCAGAGCGCTTGGTAGCATCTTTGCACTTCAAAGTGGCACGAGGAACTGGCAAACATGCTGGACGAGCTGGAGGAGCAGCGCAACAGCAACCAGGCGCCGTGTCCTTGTCTCAAACGTTCGCAGAGGTCTTGGTGGGTGTGGTTTGTTTTGCAGGGTTTGCCAAGACCGTAGCCAAGACGTGTTTCCCAACCCCATGGCGACAAGTTTTGCCAGGCTGAGAAGGAAAAGCTGCAGCAAGAGCTGGCAAAGGCGGGCACAAGAAGAAAGCCGGTGATCCTTCTCATTCTGCAGTGCTACAGCGGGTGTGAAGGGGGGGGGGGTTTTAGAGTTCAGGGTCAGCGGTCAGCGCATTGTTCACAGCTCCCTGAAAGGCCCTCGCCACAGACGAGGCAAAGGCCACGGCAAGTCAACGGATCATTCTGGGGTTCGTCGCGAGTTCAAGCCCCCAGACCCTGAGTCATGCCTTCTCTGAATGATCTTCTTGGGCCATTACATTGTGAACCTCCCTTCTGGCAGCCTGAAGGTGTCGTTGCATCTGAGGACCCAAGTAAGTTTCGCCCTCTGCGGTTTGAGTCAGAAGGGGTTCCGTGAGACGTCTTCGTGACCGACGTGATAGCAACCTGCGTGCTTGAAATTTGCCGAAAGAATGCCCAGCACCAAATCTGCTTTGGCCAGGAGGTGGGCATGGATGAGGCACGATGCTCGGGGATACTGCACCATATCACTTTGGCCACAAGATATGCTGCAAAAACCCAAGCCAGCACAGACTAACCCTAGCATAGCTTGTCCTGCAAGCAGCGCCAAACAATCTGGAAGTGCAGGCCATCCAGAGTTCTGGCTTAGTTTGCTTTTTGGATGACGTGGGGGCGGGGTAGGCACATTCCGGCGCTCAGGGTCACCGTGTGGGGCCACAACATCATGCAAAGCCAAGAACCAAACTCTCGGGGGAGGACCCCAGATGACTGTTCCGTGGCCAAGACGATACCGGCAAAGCCCAGTACCTCTTCAAGCCATTCCTCCTTTGCAGAGCTCTGCGTATGAAACAATGGGGCGCGACATTCGTACGCAAAAGAGAGGGAGCCACGGGACACCATGACACACCCCGATCTTGATGTACAGCCAATATGAGTGTAGTAAGGTCGACCCTTACAGACTAGATTTCCGGCACCAATGCGAGGCCTGAGCAGACCCTGGCGGCTTGATCCAAAACACACCTTAACCCAGCGTGCCGGAGCCGAGAAAATGCAGCTCTTCCGGATGCCCGTGCTCTCACACTGTGAGAAGGCCAGCGCGGTACGGAAGTCTGGCAGTGGAATGCAGCGCTTCTGGGCAGCATCAGCAAGGGGTCCTCGATGGTTCGTGCACGCAGCAGTTTGATCAATTTTGTATGCAGTGCCTTATCGCGCAACGTCGTAGATGCTCCTCTGTACACTTGGAACAACTCTCGCGCGCTCGCTACAGATTTGTTCTGGGTTTTCCCATCCGCAACAGTATCTGCGCTCGACAGCTGGCATCTCGTTTGAAACTGACAAGGTGTGGAGTCCACGACCTCGAAGCCTGCACAGGCAGCCGGCCACGCAAACCATGAAAACCCCTAAGTCATGAACCCAGCGTCCAGGCCAACAAGTGGGGCTGATTTGGAAGTCTCGTTCAAAACGAAATGAAATTGAGAGAGATAAAAATCTACACACATCCGGAATCGACAAGTGCAGGTCAAGGACCTCAGCCAGCTTCGGAGGCTTGCCAAGGAGGGCAGCCGGCAGGAGCGCTCAGCGTGTTGCTTCGTTCGGGGGGAGTGCCGAGGCCTCAAAACCTGAAGAGGAACGTCTTTTAGGAATTGTCTTTTCATTCTCGTATATTGTCTCGCATTTAAACAAACCCAAGGATTATTTCTAACTTGTTTCACATAGTGCTCTAAGAGGAGTGCTCGGAAGGTGCGGGGGGGGGAGGGGGGTGCAGCAGAACAGCCAAGAAGATTCTTTCAAGCGACCGAGTCCCTGGCCAACCGTTTTTGCTCAGGAACAGAGGGGCAGGTTTCGAAAGGTCCGAGAAAGACAAGGTCCTCAAGTCCGCCAGGCGAAGCCTCATTCGGGGGGGGGGGGGGGGGGGGGATTTCCAAAAAAACAACAATTGTTTGGGGTTTAGGGCTTAGGTTTGTTTTTGGAGGGGGGGGAGGGGGGGGCGAGGTTCGCCCCATCAGCTTGCCGAAGCCAAGAGCAGGGAAAGGCTCATTCAGGTGAAGAATAGATTGTGTTTTCATGTTCAAAAATGCAAGGATGACAGGGGATAATATTGGTAGTATGTAGGCGTGGTGGCGGAAGCCTCGCACGCACCAGGGCCAACCTGGTTACCTGAACTTCTCGTTTGACGGTAGATTGATTCGTCTTGCTACTTCGATCAACTCGCCGTTCCGTGTTGCTGCTCTTATCACTTGCCGATCCTTCCTTGTCAGCCTTTCGTCTCACGGAAGGCCTTCCTGGTTGTTGTTTTCACCCGCAGTTTGGGCAGAGGAGATGCCGGAGTCTACCCCTTCAGTGGTGCAGGCAAGGCGATTTCTGCTGCGGCGCTTGGGTTGCTGCGGATTGTGAGGCTTTCTGTTGGGTGTTGGGGAGGCTGCAGTCCCAAGTAGTATCTCTCAGCCAGAAGATCAGTCCAAGAGTCACACCATAAAAACACGTTTGCTACAAGGCCCCTCCGCTCCAATCCTGGTTCTTACTTTCTGACAGTCTTGCGAAGCCACGGATACCGGTGTTAGTAGAGCACTTTCAACTGATACGTGAAAGTACCTGAGTATGAAAAGCAAAACGTGGTCCAACGTGTTCTCCCCTTGCCAACAACAACGAATCTCTAACACACCAAAACTCGTATTCAGTCCAAAGCATCTCGACCGGTTTTGAATCGAAACTATTTGATCTTGCTTCCCTTCCACTTGAGCAGCAGGAGACTACAACTCTGGATCGCAACATCTAAGCGCTTCATTATCTATCGCTTCTGGGATGCTTTCCCTTTTCTCTGTCAAGGACGGAGTTCAGATCTTGCTCTCCATGTCTTCGTCTGAGGCTTCTAAACCCCCATAGCACTCGGGCGCACTTCCACAAGCCAAATGCCTGTGACAGACGCCAGTAGGTTTAGGTAGGGTTTACGGTGAAGAAACACTTCGGAACCCTTTAGCTTGTAGCTACAGACATGACATCAAAAAGGACCACAAAAACTTTGCAAACCCTGTAAGCTGCCAGTGCGGCGGAGCCATCGCTTCCTGGACGGTGCACACACCACGGCGCATCCCCTGCCCTAGATACTCCCAAAACCCCAAACTTTTGGGAGGGCTTAAGGTCTTTAGGGAGGGTTTACACCTGTAGGGGTTTAGAGCTTTAGAGTTCGGACGTCTCGGTGAAACAAGAGCTCTTGTGCCTCCGAAACCCTGCAGTAGGTTTCCCAAGCTGTGGCCAGGAAGTGCAGCCAGCCGCATCGAACCTGGTGAACCCCAGGTCGCACTGGATGATGGTGTCATGTTTCAGGGTGATCAGGGAGCGCCATAGGCCATAGGTGGAAGCTTCCCGGACTTGGATCTCCATGATCTCGCTCATAAGCCCACAGGTGTGCAGAAAACCCGCGCTCCCTGTGCCGTCCGGTGACGTCAGGCGTCTGCCCTATAGTCAATGTTTACAGCTCATCTTTGCACAGGCACACCTATGCCTCCACGGACGACGCGTATGCCCCGGCCGCTGATGACTATGCTCCAGTGCCCTGGCGGCAGGTCACAACACGCACATGTCATGGAGCGGCACGGCATAACAACCACTTTGCCCTTCCGTGCTTGTCAGCTGGGCCGCGGAGTTCTGTATCCGTGCCGAGGAGGAACTGATGGCTGGGGAACCGATGGTGGCTCGGAGAATGCAGCATACCGGGGATGGCAATTGTATGTAATTGTCGGCATTGCGGAGTGTGAGGTGTTCAGTAGCAAGGGAATATGTTCGGTTCGGGGCCTGGATGATCACCAGCACGATTCCCCGTCTTGGTTCGTAGAGTATCCTCGAGCATGCTGAGAATAGCAGGCAGAGCAACAAGAAGCCCAGAGCAGCTGTACTTCCCGCATGCTGGAGGGCGACGCTGCATCGGCAGTGTAGATTTAGGGGCGGGCTCAGGAGCTTGTGAAGTCGTAGCTTGAAGGGCATCAGGGCTGGTAGGATACAGGGCGTTGAGGGATTTAGGGTTTCAGCAATGCAGCAACATTGCGGTTTTCTAGGCTCTCCTTTGCAGGTTGGCGATGCCTCTGCCGCAGGAGCTCCGGGGATTTTTGAGGCCAAATACAAGCTGGCTAAGCCCCCCTCCCCCCAATACTGGTGGGGGTGGGGGCAATCCAAAGTATGAACTCCACACCCTAACCCTAAGCCTGCAATTCACCTGCCATGACGGCCTACTCCCTTAAAAATTGACGTGACCCCTATAGTATGTTATTAATACAAGTAGACCCATAAAGCTATTCTTGGGTAGATCTGAATACCAGAGGGGTTTCTGCTTCTTGCATCTACAGTCACATGCCAAGCCAGATTTGAAGTGATGAGTTGGCGATCGATGTAGAGACAAAGGGGATGGCCGGAGGCCGCACGGCGCAGGATTGACGAACCTTGTCCTCGCCAACCGAAGCCGGCAACCCGAAAGCCCAGTCCCAAAGTAGCTTGCTACAACAGGAGCCCTTGCAAGGGAGCCCGACGCGGCTGAGGCAGCCGAGGCAGCTAAGTGGCCGTCGTTTGGGCTTTTGGGTGTTTGGAGTGTTCAGGTTACGAAGGGTTTATAAGGCTTGGGGGGGGGTGGGTGTAGAGTTTATCGGGTTTTTTTCGGTTGGCGTCTGATTCCTCGAGGGTGTTGGGGGGACCGACGATTATAAACCCTAAGCCCTGAAAAACCCTCGGGGGGGGGGGGGGGGGGGGGGGGGGCCCGGAAGGTGAGCCGCATCCGCGCCCGCCTGGCAGAGCTTGAAAGTCAGGACCACCAGATCGAGGAGAAGGTGCCACGTGTTCTTTTTAGTGCAATTTTCAGGGTTCGGGGCTGATTTCCGGTGCTTACCGGGTTCAGGGTTTTGGGGGATGTAGGGCGGCTTTCAGCCGACCTGTCTCCTGCATGTCAAGACTCTCAGCTCCGCTGGAAGGCGACCACCGTTCGACAACGTCGCCAGGTGCGGACTTCGATGTCGGAAGATGGCAAGTGGTCATTTCCCAAAATGCGGAGGGGAGGGTGGAACCTCTGATGCTACGAGCCTTGTTGTGGGAACCCCCCCCCCCCAACCCCAAAAAAAAGGGTACGCCACTTTTGGGAAGCCCCCCTGAAACCCTCACTTCCAGGCTGTGCTTAGCACTTCGGCTTTGGGGGTTCGCCGACTTAAAACCATCTGTATCCCGAAGCTCTAAACCCCAAACCTGAAACTATCTTTAACTTTAGTCCTGCAGGCTTGTCGGCTCAGCCAGCCCTCCAGTTCCAATCTGCCCCCGAACTACCGAGTCCCTCACACCCCTGGAAACCTCGTCTCAGTTTCCGTTCTAAAGCTTTCTTGAACCCCCTGGTTTCCCCTCTAACCCTAAACTCAACCAACCCTTTAAACCCCAAGAACCGCGGGCCTGGAGAGGACGTGGACTCTTCTCTGGGCCGCTTCGCGCCTGATGCGCCGGGCCGCATCAAAGAGGCGCCGCCACACCCGCGGTCTTGGGCGGGAGGGCTTATGAGAAACACAGGGCTTAAAGAGACCACCAACCCTTTTGGGTGTCAGACATCTCACATAAGGGCTAAGGTCATGTCCAAAACGCTATATTATGTTATGTTGCATTTTGACATCTTGCATGAGGTTCATAGAATATTGTTTGAAGAATCTAGAAGCTGACCCCCCAACTCATCGAGACCAGTCTCAAAATTCTGGCACCTTCTTGGGGCTTGGGGGGGGGGGGGGGTGGGGGGGGGGGGGGGGGGGGGGGGGCACGCTACAAAGTACAAATACGGGCAGGTCTGCCTCCCTTCTGCAACCCGAATCAGGAATCCCTACCCAAACCCTTTACACCCTTACCCTAACCCCTGAATCCGTAGCCCTAAACCGCCCCAAAAAGGGGGGCCCTCGGCACAAAAGTCTTCCCCCAAATGCTCTTGGCAGGCATGGCAGCGCGGCGTCACACTGGGAAGCTCGGCTTTTCTAAGCCCAGCCCACGTTGCCCCTTCATATCAAGAGGAAAATACCCTGAAGCCATTTTTCGGGTACTTCTAAGAATACGGGGTTTGGGGTTCAGGGGGTTTAGGGTCTTGGCTCATTGGTTGTTCGAAGGGATGTCCACGGGGCCGAGTGCGTGGTGCCCCTTCCCCTTGGCCACAAGAAACAGAATCGATTCCGGACGACTTCCATGTTGACCCGAGAGGGCTTGGGTTTGGGGTGGCCCTATTCTTTTACTTCCCTGCCCTTGTCCTTTGTTGGGAGGGCGCTTGGGTCTGGCTATGACAGCTGGCGGCTCGGTCCTCCCCAAGCCCACTACAAGACCAGTGCCAGTTGGACGACATCTACATCTTGACCCTGGGGGTGGCCTGTTATATTGTCTTGCATCCCCCAACTGTGTCCAGCCACTTCTGGCTCTTGCGCGGCAACCAACGATTGCAACCTTTGTCCTTTGTAGGGTGCACGTGCCCCGATAGTAGTACCCACTACAAGATATGAGCAAGCAAGTTACAAGGAGACGATTTTTTTCGCTTGGCTTCTGCTGAGCTTTGGGTCATGACGTCTTTCGGAGCCCTTCGCCCCGTTTGCGTCTTTGCCCCTTTTTGGGGGGGGAAGACAACTCGGGCGGAAGTTGGCGCCTGAGGCCCCGTAAGAGCCTTTGGCGTTTTCGGATTTGAAAGCAAAAGATTCAAGATGAAGCTCCGAACCCGCCCCGAATTGCAGAAGCCAGTGGGTTTCGGGGTGCTGAGGCTCGTTGCTGGACTTCTTCGTCGAAAACTGTGGAGAGGTGCTCTGCGCTGCACCGCTTCCGCTTTGGTTTGGGGTTTTGAGGTTTCCGGAATGAGTTGGCATGGATTCCTGCAAGGGCGAAAGTGCCACCCCTGACTTGCCCGCGGCGTCACCCTAAAGCATCAGGCTGCCGTCTGCAAGCAAGGTCCAGCTTGAACTTTCTTTGTCCTGTTGCGCGCGCGGCATGCCGGTCAAGTTCCTTCGCTCGAGTTTCCACAGAGGTCAGTTTCGAGCCATCCTGCTCCTTTGCAGCAATCAGGGGCTTGGGTGGTTTTGCTCCGGGCTTCGCTGTTTTAAAGTTGCAGGTCCTTGTAAGAAGCCAAAGGGCGGAACGATCTGCGCGTTTAGAGTTTACTGAGTTTACTGGGTACCCTGAACAACCTGAACTCAACTACCACTGCCCAGTTTTTGGTAACGACGATGACTGGCGAAGACCGCTGTGCGTCGCGACCAAGCTCAACCGGAGATGCCACCAGTTGAACCAAGAGCGCCTCGGGCAAAATCTAGAAGAGTTCAAGTCCACCCCGTGCCTTCAAGGCTTCCATGGGCGTTCCCCAAAACCGTGGCTTCATGGCTCTTTGGAGTGCTGAGGGCTGGCATTCTTTGAACAGATTTCCTGTCCGGATGTCGGGGCTCAGGAATCGAGCCGAGATCGCGAAGAAGAGGCTGAGGCCTTTGAGCTGAGCCCTTAGGCGCTTCGCTTCTGAGCGCTTCCCACCCTGGTTCCCACCCTGGGCCCTTGCCAAGGAGCTTCAATTCAGTCACCATACTCGCAATGGTACTATGCTCTTTTGCGACATAACCCTGCTGGTATTCTTTGAAGTTCCTGAACAAGAGCCCAGACTGCCAGTGAAAGATTCTGCCGCAGAGGGGGCCTCCGCAGCTACGGCAGCTAGACAGAGAAGCTTATTTACAACGCGGTCCCGAATTTACACGCTACTTGCATGGAGGACCATGAATAAGAGAGGGGTAGGGCCACATTTTGCCCACATGCTGCTGAGTTCCGAATGTCTTTGCCGTGGAGAAGCTCTTCATCAGGTGTGGCAGACATGCCTAGGGGTCAAGGCCTCCTTGAACCCAATGGATATTCGTCTCTACCTGGGCATGCAGGGGGGAATTCGGAAGTCAGGTAACAATAGCCCGTTCAGGCATCCCTAAACACCATGATTTCTTGTATTGAGAACCAGTGAGTTCTGCCAGGCCGCTGACAGAAGAGAGGCGGTGTTCCATGGCAGAGCTTTGGAGCACATCGCCCGTAGATGCTGCCGGGATGCCCAGATCTATGCCGACAAAAATCCACAGGGAGGGTTGAGGGCTTAAGGATGCTTAAGGTCAGGGCAAAGTTTTCAGCAGAGTACTCTTCCCCACGACACAGCCATCCCATGTATGCCACTCATACTCCTACGACAAGTTGCTCAGAAAAAGGGCTGTGCTTCGCTTGTTTGACTCGAGGACGGTGTCCCGAGTTAAGGGCTTTGGAGGGTTCAAAGAGAGGCGAGGTGTAGGGAGTTGGGTTCTTTTGAGTCCAGTGCGGGGCAATGGCAGCACGACTCAGACTGGGGTAAAGCCAAGGAAATATTGTCAATTGCATGGTCCTTAAACCATCCTACGCCCCGCGCTTCTTTCAGAAGGAGTGGGGGGTGTCAAACAGATGTCTGGCGCCAATTCACGAACATCGGGTTGCATTTGAAGGCAAGGCAGATGGACATTTAACGTCGAAGCATTGCTTTCTTGGCCTCCAAACCCTTTGAAGGGTTCAGGGCCTACAGGTGCAGGACCTGCAGGGCTACCGAAACTGCCAGGAGATCTTCGTCAGCCACGCGTGGACGGAGGACTTTGGTGAGTTTATTCAGGGCGCGGACCCTGGAGCTGGAACATGGGGTTTGATGGCTTTGAGGCTTTGGGGGTCCAGGCATCTTGGGCCTCAAGGGCTGTGAGGGTGCTGCGTGCTTCATGTCTTGAGTCTGGCCGACTTTCCTCGTTGGCAGCTCTGTGTGGGATGCTGCATCGCGAATCGATACGGATCCTAGCGTTCATCGTTTCTTTTTCGACATACGTTTGCTCCAAACCATAGACCACCCGGAGCCTTTCAAGCACTGCCCTGGCTAAGGCTTGACTCGCTTCGCAGCTGCTTGGCTTGGGCTCGGCTAAAGAGCTTTGCGTTTGAAGGGGCGGTTTCGGGTTTAGTGGTTTAAAGCGGGGGGCTTCAGGAAGCTTGGGCTCCGGGTCCAACAGATGTCTTGGATCAAATTTCTACTAGGCCCCGCAGTGGTAGTCACTCTTTTTCATTGCGTTTTGCGGGGGTTAGGTTCCCCGATAAACCACAATATCTGTTTATCGCAAACTTCCCTAACTCCCTAGCCCTCCCTACACCCTGAACCCTGTCTCCCTGCACTGCCAAGCTGAGACACGACTGAGGTTTCCCTGACGTTTCGAGAGTCACCGGCACTACCTCAGGAGCCTCTGCGTCAGTACAACATAGCATCTCATGGTCCATTACAGTTTATCTTTCATTTGTATAGTGTACTCTAGTGTCACAGTTTTTCTGGTATGGTTCGTTTCATAATACTTAGGGGCTCCCCTCCAGGCAAAAAGGGGCAGCCCTGTTTTCGGAGTATGTTGGGGGGGTATCTTCCTCTGCCCGGACACCCGGAATCTCAGGACGCCGCCGCCAGCCACGCCCGAGGCCGCAGCTTCTTCATCCACGCCTTCTCAGATTCCATGTGGCCAGGACCCCAGAGGGGTTAAAACCTGAGGGTGCAGGGGTTTGCGCAGTGACGTGGGCCCGTCAGGCATCAGTGCTGAAGCTTGGCTTGAGCCTGTGCTCGAAGACCCTCAACCTTGGTCGATGGAATGGGCTTGGGGCTACAGACGCCAAAAAACTGTCTCACGTGCATATGGTTGGGGACTGCAAGGGACTTTTGGAGCTCCGCCAGACTTGCTGAAGAAGGATGCCCCCGAAAGGATATGCCCCCCCCCCCACCCCCCCAGCACTCGAGACTCTCGATGGCCTCGGAGGTCCGACGACCAGGGCAAGTCCTTGGAGGCCGGGCCGAGATGGCATCGGTCGGTGCTGGGTGTCCTCCTTCGGCTGTCTCCTTAGGAACTGTACCATGTTGTATGTGATTCTCTATATAAAGATATAATATGTGTATATATATATATATATATATATACATATATGTGATGTATATGTATGTGTATGTGTATGTGTATGTGTATGTGTATGTGTATGTGTATGTGTATGTGTATGTGTATGTGTATCTATATATATATATATATATATAGATATCTATATATATATATATAGATATCTATATATATATATATATAGATTGGTATTTAGACTTTATTTGTTCATACATACCTTCCCAAAACACCCCGCCCATTGCAAACACCCAAAGACCGATAAGTACACCCTTTAAGAAGAGAGACACAGCACCGAGGTCATATCGACATCCGGAATACTGTGTAGCTTATAACATTAATCCGAATCAAGGCCACATTATTCTGTGTCTCTCCACTCAGCTTTCTCAAACGCTGACGCTCTAACCCGAAACTTCTCTCTGTGTAGGGTTTAGATTTTAGACGCCAGGATCTTCCCGTGTATCAGACTTTGGCCTCCAGCAGCATCAAGACGGTGTTGCTCAGTCTGGGGCCCTGGCTTATTTTCTCTCTCTTATCGCTATGAAGACTGTTGCTATCATTATGACATTATGAGTTTAGAGGGCTTCACTGGTACCCTTTCAGAAACATTGTTTCCCCTTCTAGTCAAATTTGGCGGCTTTGAAGGCTTGCCCCAACCAGGAAGACAAAGTCAGGGTTTAGGGTTTAGGATCCCATCCATGGATCCTATCATAGAGTCGCTCTAGGGCTACCCCGCGAGTAGCGGAATCTGACAAACTCCCAATTTTGGACCCCCAACCCCTAAATCCTATGAACCCTCCATCATAATCAGATAAACCTGAAGCCATACTTGCTAGATTCCCATAATGAACCTTAAACTCTAACCCTCGAACCCTTCTGAAGCCTTCAGACTCTAAACAATAAATCTGATGAAATCAACCCCCACACCCTAGACCAATAAGCCCTATAATCTCATAGGCCCGTAAACTCGAAACCCTAGAACCCCCTAAGCCCTAAACCCTAAATCTCACCAAATCAAAGCCCAACAACACATCGTCGACTTGAGGGTTTTATGGTTTTAGGGTGCAGGGCTCCAGGGTCCCGGACATGCCTGAACACCCTAACCCTCAAGCCTGAGGCCCTAAACCCCCAAGCCCTAAACTCCCCACGCCCCCTGCCGCTCACTTTGAAGAGGCACGGGCCTCGATGGCACCTCGCTCCTGCGAGCCGGGCGCTTGGCTCTTCACCGGGGCTTTGCCCAAAAGGGTTCTTCTCAGACTTCGGGGCTGAAGTTAGAGGCGTTCTGGTTTAGAGTGGCAACCTGTCCGAAGTCGCTGTTTCCAGCAGCGGTCGGGTGTGATACCCACAAAGGACCACAAGTTATTGAACTGACCAGCTTCAGCCTCCCCGAAGCACCCAGAGCCACGAGGCTTGGTGTTGTGTGGAACTCTTCCTTGCCAAGGACGCCAGCAAAAGCAGAATCCCAAACCCGCACGGCTAAAGCCTTAAATTGCAAGCAAGGTTTCTGCACTTGTCGAGGCTGTCTAGGGCTGTTAGGGGGTTGGGGGGGTTTAGGGCCTTTAGGGGCCATTAAAGTAGGAGCACCCTTCGAACACGATCCGAGGCAACAGAGGGCGACGGGTTTGCCCTTCTACAATCTTGACATCCCCTAGAACCTGTGACATCCGAGTTGTGGCGGATTGGGCCCGTTTAGGACCCCACAATCGGGTGCCCCTTTGGGTTCGCCCAGAGAATCCCTTCCAGGAGTTTGGGCGTGCCGTGGTGCTGAACACCCGGCTTGGCCCTGAGGTGGTCCTACGTGGGGCATCGTGGAACTGAAGAACGGAAGAGTGCAAATCCAGCAAAACGCGTGCCCCCCACCCCCACCAACTTCCGAAGGCCAGGGCCAGACGGTTCCGGTTGAGGTTCTCGGCGGCCAAAAGTCCCAGCTTAGCCATTCGACTTCTCAAGGAAGCGGCGCTTTTTCCCACCATCGGCGAGGCTTCGAGAGCCCCCAGACCCCACCCGGGTTACATATTTCGCTTTGGCATCGGCCGCGGCGTGTCTCCAAAACCTTAGGACCATCTAAGCTCCCTAAACTGTCAAACCTCAACGCTTCCCAAGGCTGGGTCCTATGCAGGCAGTGGTGGGGAAGGGGTGTTGTGCAGCATGCCGTGCAGCCCCGAGAATCATGAATCGCACAGGATCAGTCAGGGCCCTCTGCTCTCACCACCGACATCAAGCAGTTTGCAGCGATGTTGGTACAGGCGCATCTAGCTTTGCACAGAAAGCACCACGTTGAAGGCTCTATTCTGTTCCGATTGCCTCTTAGCCTCATGTCGCCGATGGCCCCGGCCATACTCGAACAGCAACAAAGCGCAGTTTGCATGTTTTGCATTTTGCCTGTTCTGCTTGTCCGCCTTCCAGCGACTTGTGCGCGCAAGACCCGGCAAAGCGCAACCCGACATGGCAGAATCGCTGTTGTGTCTAATGCTGCCGCGAGGCTTACACAGAGAGCTCAGCCGCAACCATATTCGATCCTTTCAAGACTCAAGAAAGATGGTGTCAGCGTTGCGGAGTTCACTAGGCGTCCGAGGCTTTAAGGGCTTCAGGTCAAGGCTTCCTGGACCATGGCAACCCGAAAAGTGGTGCAGCAGAGTCGGGAATCAATCGCCATGATGGGCCCTTGGCGTGCCCTGGTCTTCGCTCTGTTTCTCGGGCGTTCTTTGGAGCCTTACACACAAAACCGACTCAACCCGAGACCCTCGTGTCTTCTTTCCCTTCTCAACAAAACAGCCCAGGATGTTGAGGGGGCAGAAAACACCTGAGGCTGCCAGCCTGTGCTGTGAGCAACAGCCCGAATCTGGAGAATCTCGTCACCCGGTAGCAGCGGTCTTCAGGGGTTTAGGCACGTTGGCAGTTCGGCGCCTGGGAGCACACGTCGACGTCAGGGCTTTTTCTCAAGGATGCCGGGGAGGTGGAAATTGGTGTTGGGGTTGGGATGGGTTGGGTCCGGGTGTGCGTCTTGGTCTGAGAACCCGACTGCCGTTCGACCCTGAAACATCACGAAGCCTGAGCTTTCCAGGCCAGGTCAAGAATGTCCCTGAGCCCATGTCTGGAAGACCCGAATGCAAAGCCAGCAATCCTGAGGTGGGTGCAGACCATCCGTTGGCGAATGGATGCGGCTTGCAAGCACCGACAAGCTTCAAGATTGAGGATTTGTGGTACCAGGTTCTCGTGAGTTTGGGAACCTTTCCAAAAGCTTCCTGCGAGAGAACTGAAGTTTTTATTGACATTTCTCCAGAAATGGGAAAATCTGTCTTACAGCTTCAGAGGGCTACGTCTTTCAGGGTTTAGGGTTTAGGGGCGGCCGTGGCATCTCTGAGACGCAACAAGAAAGGCACGATCTCCCTCGGGCCTGTGATCTGGGCCTCGGTGAAGAAGGCCTTGGGGAAGCCGTTTCGGGTCCTTGCAGTTCTTCGGGCCTTCGCATCCTAAATTGGACCACGCCAAACCCGACGCAAGATTCATCTCATACTGGGCTGTGCTTGGAAAATGCTCTTAGTTTGAGTTGGTTCTCTTTGAAGGGACCACACTTGGACTGAAAATTGCAAGAGCGGTGAAGTAACAATCCTAAGATCCGCAAACTCCAAGCCAAAACTTGCCAGGACGGACTTCTCTGCGTGCAGGGCGCTGTGAACATGGCAACGCTGGCGCATCTTCGAGTATGGACCCAAAATCTTTTCATCTTGCGGCAGTCCGGTCAGTAGCGGGACTTAGGGTTCAAGGGCTTGGGGTTTCGTAGGTTTGTACGTGCCCAAGGGCAAGCAGCTTAGTTTCGCGTTGACTCGGCCAGGTTGCCACCTCGTCATTGGGTAGCGTCGTGCTGGCCTCAGTCGGCTTTCCCTCCCTCAAGAATAGCTCGCAGAGGGTCGAGAAAGCAGGTCGCTGCGGAGTTTCCTTGCGCACGACTCGATGAAGCCTCGCCACGCGCAAGAACTCATCCCAGCCACCATCAGTGTCTTCTGGGATCATGCAGCACAGCTTGGAAGGTCATTTGAGCCTGATATCTTGTGTAGCAAGACCAAATTCCAGACTTGGTATCCCATACATATGCATTTGCAAGCGAACGGCAGTGAGCATGTAGGTGCGAGAAGTACCAGACATTCCCCTGCCACGCAGGTTTCCAAAGTCAGGAACTATCTTCACCGGCACTGCTTGGAAATAGGATATGACCCGATGTATAGCATAACCTGTGGCCCCGATCCACACAACCGTGGACTGTATTCCGAGTTCTTCACCAGGTGCATGCATCGCCAGGCACAGGTGTTGGCCGAGTCATTGTCAAAGGCGCGAATGAGATGACACTTCTTGAAACTTCTTGCGCTGTTGTATGCCTGCAAAGTTTCTTCTTTTCAAGGGTTCTCAGATTGCTTGTTGCTTGTCGCTGCTCCTTCTTGCTTGCGACATTGCGACCTCACTCTACCCGCATTAAGATGCCCGGCCTAACGGCTGTACCGAGTTCTGCGCAAGAGAACACTGCTTTGCACTCTTTGCACTCTTAGCTCTGTCTTTGGCCAGGCCTCGACTCCGCCCTGGCAAGCAAGCTTGAGAGCTTCTACGTGTGCCTCGGAGTTCAGCTAAGAAGAAGGGATCCCCTCTCTCTCCGACAGTGCACTTGATATTCGGGGGAGTTTTTCCCCTCTCTAAGCCACCTTCGCAGCTGCTGGAGCAGGCCATATTGTAACCTGACCAAATAGCTCGCGCCAAAACATGGCGAAACATGTCCAGGTTTAGCACGCGTTCAGTCTAAGCGCCTTTCGGGCTCTCCACTACAGAAAACATGATTAAAGCCCGAAAAAACCCCTAAAACTATAAACTCCGAAAAGCTGAAGCGAAAGTAAGGCACAATTAAACCCATTCACAGAACAAAACATGTTTAACGCCAAAGAAACCCCTACGCATGCTAGTTGAACACGCCCTCTAGACCACCCTCTTTTCGAGGAGTAGCTCGACATTCTTGACACTTTACTTGAACCACCCTCTTTTCGGAGAGTAGCTTGCTTGACCAAACAGGTGTCATGGCTTTTCTCGGAAGGGCGGGAGACCACTAGCAACCGCCCTTCCTAGACAGACCTGGAACTGTGGGCAGGTTATGGAGCCACGATTGCGTTGCACAGGTTTGTGTTGTATATGTAGGGTTTAGGCACCCCCTTTGCGCCCTTCAATTTACATACTCGTGCCTGCAAAGTTCATAGTCCCACAAAGGGATAAACATGTCTTAAACTTTGCGGGCACGAGGAAGTAAATTGAAGGACGCAAACCCTAAACTCCGGCCTACTTAAACTTGAAACACAGATTTGGGCCAGGTAAGGCCCCAGAGGTTTGTCGCATGTTTTGGTGAGGGCCCTGGAGGTTTGTCGTATGTCCTCTCCCTTCGTGTTCGTAGGGTTTGGTGAGGGCCCTAGAGGTTTGCTGCATGTCCCCTCCCTTCGTGCTTATAGGGTTAGGTTCATTTCGTCCTCATTTAACACTGCAATGATACTAACGGGAGTTTCTAGCGTTGATTTCATCTTCATTTCGTTGCCACGATTCCGATGTCTTCCGTTCAATTTCGTCGCAATGGCTCCGCCTGGTTTTTCTGTTCATTTCGTCTTCTTTTCGCTGCAATGATTCTGTCCAGAATTTCTTGCTTGCATTTCGTCGTCATTTCGTCGCAACGGCCGCTTTTCCGCCGAATTTACTTGACTCAACCTCCTTTTGCGCTAAAAGGCCGTGTCAAAAATATCCCCTTTCCTTGTGTTTGTGCGAAAAGAGCGTGCCAAGAACAGTCTGGTCCCACGAAGGGAAATAAGTTTACCTCCCCGAAAAGAGGACGGTAGTAAATTGAGATGTTTCCCCCATAGTAGCCGGGCTTACGTCCCTGTACCACGTTTGGCGGAATATCATGTTCTCGACCAACCGGCAATTTCGTCTCGTTGCTAGTTAGCCATCGAAATTTGGTCATGGAGTCAAGCGATGGATCGCAAGGAATCCCAAACTCTATACTCCGGCCTAGTTAAACTTGAAGCACAGATTCGGGCGGTGAGGTGCCCTAGAAGTTTGTCGCTGTCCCCTCCCTTCGTACTCGTGGGGTTTGGTGAGGGCCCTAGAGGTTTGTCGCATGTCCCCTCCCTTGGTGCTCGTAGGGTTTGACCTACTCCCCGAAAACAGCGTGGTTTAGAGTGCGTGTTCAACTAGCATCCGTAGGGTTTTTTTGGCGTTAAACATGTTTTGTTCTGTGAAAGGGTTTAATTGTGCCTTACTTTCGCTTCAGCTTTTCCGAGTTTATAGCTTTGGGGTTTTTTCGGGCTTGAATCATGTTTTCTGTTGTGGAGAGCCCGAAAGGCGCTTAGACTGAACACGTGCTAAACCTGGACATTTTTCGCGCGAGCTATATGGTCAAGTTCAAAGAGCCTGACCAAATAGCTCGCTCGCGCCAAAGCATGGCGAAACATGTCCGGGTTTATAAGCAAATTAAGCTCGTTGAACTTTCGCACATAAAAAGGGGGGCTCCTTGGACGCCACGTTGGGAGAATAGTATAATATCACCCCCCCCCCCCCCCCCAAACGTGTCCACGGAACCTATGTGGAAGCCGTTTGAATCTCCTCTCATCGTCTTGGGGCGGTTACTTGCGGTCTCCTGCCCTTCCTCCTGAAACTGTGTGCAGGTTATGGAGCCACGATGACATTACCAGCACAGGTTTTCGTTTCATATTTAGGGTTTAGGCACCCGCTCTGCGCCCTCCAATGTACTTACTCGTGCCCGCAAAGTTGAAACCACCATCTTTTGCGCGAAAAGACCTTAACCGTCTACAAGATTGTCTGATTGTCTTCCGACAAAGGCATGTGGTCGTAGTCCCACAGGGGATAAACATCCATTGCCCGTTTTTTTGCAAACACAGTGTCGAAATGTCCATAAGACTCTGTTTCAATCTACTTAAACAACCCTCTTTTAGGGTTTTAGCACAAAAAGAGGGTGGTTCCTTGGAAGCCGCGGTGGGAGAAAGTATAGTATTACCCCGAACGGCATTCCAAGGAACGCATGTCAAAGCCCTTTACTTTTGAATCCCCTCTCATGGTCTTGAGGCGGTTGCTACAGGTCTCCTGCCCTTCCTAGACAGACCTGAAACTGTGGGCAGGTTGTGGGGCCACAGGTTTTTGGTTATACTATGGGGGAAACATCTCAATTTACGACCACCTTCTTGTAAGGGAAGTAAACTTACTTCCCTTGGAGGGACTAGACATTTTTTGGCAAGGTCTTTTCGCATACAGGCGGGTGGTTCAAGTAAATTCGCCGGAAGAGCGGCCGTTGCAACGGAATGAAGACGAAATGCAAGCAAGAAATTCTGGACAGAATCATTGCAACGACATGAAGACGAAATGAACAGAAAAACCAGGCGGAGCCATTGCGACGAAATGATGACGAAATGAACGGCAGACATCGGAATCGTGGCAACGAAATGAAGATGACATGATTTCTTGAATTGAATGCTATAAACTGCCAGTTGTATCATTGCATTGAAATGAGGACGAGATCAACCTTACCCTACGAGCACGAAGGGACGGCCCATGCGACAAACTTCTAGGGCCTTGACCGAACCCGACCTGCACGAAGGGAGGGGACATGCGACGAACCTCTAGGGCCCTCACCTGGCCCATATCTGTGTTTCAAGTTTAACTAGGCCGGCGGAGTTTGGGGTTTGCGTCCTTCAATTTGCCACTCGTGCCCGCAAAGTTTCAGACATGTTTATCCCTTCGTGGGGATAAGTTGAAGGGCACAGAAAGGGTGCCTAAACCCGCAATATAAAGCAAAAACCTGTGTGGATAACGCAACCGTGGCTCCACAACCTGCCCACAGTTTCAGGTCTGTCTAGGAAGGACAGGAAACCTTTAGTAACTGCCCCAAGACGATGAGAGGGGATTCTAAGGGCCTCCCTGTTTTGTGCGAAAGTTCAAAGAGCGTAATTTACTTGTAACCATTTGGTCAAGCTCTTTGAACTTGACCAGATAGCTCGCTGCAAAATCATGGCCAGTCTAGGCGCCTTTCGGGCCCTCCGCGACAGAAAACATGTTCAAAGCCGAAAAAGCCCTAAAGATATAAACCTAACAAATTGAAGCGAAAGTAAGACGCAAAAACACGCAAAGATGTAAACCGTGAAAAATTGAAGCGAAAGTAAGACGCAGTTAAACGCCTTTGCAGAGAAAAACAGCCGAAAAAAACCTACAGATGCTAGTGACCACGATCTTTAAACCACCCTCTTTCGGGGGAGTAGATCTAACCCTACGAGCACACTCGTGACGAAGGGAGGGGAGATTCGACAAACCTCTAAGTTTAAACCACCCTCTTTTTCTGCGAAAAGACCGTGTCAAAAACGTCAATAAGACTCTCTTCCCACAAAGGAACATGGTCGTAGTCCCACGAAAGGATAGACATCCCTTATTTAAACTTTGCGGGCACGAGGAAGTCAATTGAAGGGCGCAAACCCGAAACTCCCGCCTAGTTACAGTTAAAACACAGATTTGGGTCGGGTGAGAGCCAAGGAGGGTTGTCGCATGTCCCCTCCCTTCGTGCTCGTAGGGTTTTGTGGCCCCAGAGGTTTGTCGCATGTCCCCTCCCTTCGGGCTCGTAGGGTTTGGTGAGGGCCCTAGAGGTTTGTCGCATGTCCCCTCGCTTCGTGCCTGCAGGGTTTTGTGAGGGCCCTGGGGGTTTGTCGCAAGTCCCCTCCCTTCGTGCTCGTAGGGTTAGGTTCTTTTCGTCTTCATTTCACTGCAATGATAGCCGCCGGGAGTTTATTGCATTCATTTCAAGATGTCTTCTGTTCATTTCGTCTTCATTTCGTCGCACTGGCTCCGCCTGGTTTTTGTGCTCACGTCGTCTTCATTTTGCTGCAATGATTCCGCCTGAATTTCTTGCTTGCATTTCGTCTTCATTTCGTTGCAACGGCCGCTCTTCCGGCGAATTTACCCGCCTGTATGCGAAAAGACCTTGCCAAAAAATGTCTAGTCCCACGAAGGGAAATACATTTGCTTCCCCTAAAAGAGGGCGGTAGTAAGTTGAGATGTTTCCCCCATAGTAGCCGTGCTTACGTCCCTGTACGCCGTTTGGCGGAATATAATCTTAACGCTACGCGAGCCGCCTCGGCCCGGCCCGGCGCATCCGCGTGAGCATGGCGATTCCGCAGCGCCCAAGTCGCTGGACCCCAAGCAATAAGGGTTAGGTTTAGGGTTCCGGGTTTATGGTTTAGGGTTGAGGGTTAGTTTAGGGTTGAGGGCTTAGGGCTCAAGGTTTACGGTTTGGGGTTTAGGGTGTTTTTGGGTTTAGAGTGCAAGGCTCAAGGTTCAGGGTTGAGGGTTGAGACGGTTCGGCTTGGATTGATCATAAAGTTGAGCCAGGCCCCTCAAGCAGGGGGGGCAGGGGGGGGGTTTGGATTCGAGTTCCAGGCGCAAGACTCAGACTCTTCGGCTCGTGTCACTTCATGCATCCCCGCCGTGCCCACAGGTGCAGGTGGGGGGGGGGTGGCGGTGGGGGGTGGGGGGGGGTGGGGGCTTGCGGACCTACCCATTTGAGGCAAAAAAAGGGATCCGAAAAAGGGCTTTGGCTTGGAAGTAGAGAGCGGCGTCAAATCCAGGCCTCTAGCATTGTATGGGGCACCCGTTCGTGAAAGGAAATTACCCTTTGACAATGAATGGCAATTACGTCTCGTTGCTAGTTGGCCATCGCAATTTGGTCATGGAGTCAGGGGATGGATCCCAAGGAAATCCTAAACTCTATACTCCGGCCTAGTTAAACTTGAAGCACAGATTCGGGCCAGGTGAGGGCCCTAGAAGTTTGTCGCATGGGAAACATTAAATACAGTTTAGACAAATATGTATGTATATATATATATATATACATATTTATATATATATATATGTATACATATTTATATATTTATTTACTGTTTTTTGTTAACGAAAGGCCTCCGTCAAGGCTGCCCACTTTCCCCATACCTCTTTAGTCTTGTGTTAACTCACCTCTTTCACGACGTAGAAACTTCTTACCAGCAAACTTTTGGCAAAATTGCAGGTGTCTTTCACGTACCCACTCTCCTTTGGGACTTAGAGTATGCAGATGACACAGTTCTCCTTTCCACCTCCGCTTTGGTTTTAAACCGCCTCCTCCACCTGGTCCAATTCCACGGTGCGTCGCGTAGTCTCTACCTCAACCAAGAAAAATGTGAACATTTAAACTTGCACTCCACGCAAGGAATTTACTATTCGCCCTTTATCGACTCTCCCTGTGCTTGCAACTGCTGTGGTGGCACGTGCCCCACAGGACCTTTGGTCCCTGAGGCCTCGGAGATCAAATATAGGGGTTTACTTGGATGATACTTCCAGTAATGCAAAACACTTACGCTATCGTATTTTGCAGGCGGTCTCGGCAGCAAAGCAACTCAAAAATCTCATGTCCCATTCTTCTCTTCCTCCTTCTTGGAAGCTTCAGGTATATCGTGGCATAGTCCAGGCGATACTTCTTTACTCCTCTGAGAGCATTCAGTTTACTCCTTCTCAGTTGATTCATATGGATTCTATGCATTATAAGCAGCTTCGCAGAATTTCTAAGACGAAATCCTCCTACTACCACCGAGTCCTTAATCCCACTGAAGCCCAATGCTCTAACCAATATTTACATGACCTTGTCCACGCTTAGGGAGCCTCCATCTCAACTGTACTCCCAAAAGAGATTGCAAGTCTTGGGTCATATTTTGCGACACCCACACTCTCAGAGAGTATATTAGTACTTTTCAAAAGTGCTCACTCCTATCCCCGTGCCTCTGGCCCCCATCGCAGGGACCCCGCCTTCATTGGAGCGCTTCTTGCCTAACAGAAGCATTTGATAGGATCATTTACCTTCTTTCAGATGCTGCACCTTCCCACTCGGACCTGTCTCACTCCTTCTTCAAAATACCAACTCTCTCAGATGTCCGGACTAGGCATTCCTCCACCGGTATCGTGAATCTTGATAACACGACCCTACTACGAAGGGTTGGGCCTTCCTCGCAGGATAGAACCCAATGGAATCGGGTGGTACATAGGCCTCTCAGAAAATAATTTCGCTGTATGCCTTGACCTACAAAACAAAATATCGGGCAGCTGTCTCGAGACACAACGATGGGATGCCTCAGTTTTCACCAAAGGAGCTGGCCACTTGCTTTGGTTGTGTTTTACCTTGTTGTTGGGATTGACATTAGTCTTTATTGTCCTATCTCGTATTCTTAGTTCATTGAATTCCAATACTCATATTAAATAGATTGAAGAAATTAAACTCTCCAGCCTGGAGTTTAATATTCTAATGTATTTATTGTGCGGGCTTTAAAAAATATCAAATACATTAAACGTATGAAGTTTCAGACTGGCGTACATTCCGGAAATATTAAAGCACTAAATTCAAGCCGTCCAGCGTCGAATAGACCCTAGTACTCCTTCCTAGGGGGGGAGAACATACGCAGGCTTCCCTGTGCTTTTGGCGAATTACCCCCCGCCCGTTTCAAGGGCTTCCGGGACCTCTCTGAGGGTTTCGGGGGACGGATTGATCTGATAGCGGGCGAATTTCACACGGCTTCTGCACGATCCGCGCGCGATTCCCAAGCGCGAAGAGGTTCGTTCTTATTTTTTCATTTTTCCGATTCCTGTTGCAATGATGGTTCTCGCCTTGTTCTTGGCTTTCTTCGGCAGCCCATGCTTACCAAATCTGCACGAGGTTGGCTGGCGGTGCCATTAGCTTGACTCTGGGCAGCACAGAGGGCGGCAAGCCAGTCTTGAGATGGTCAGCCCGATGGCACTGGCATTGTTCCAAGGAAAGCTATAGTTGAGGAGGTGAAGAACTATGGATCCAACATCGACCAGGTTCTCAGCGCTCTTGCGGGCTTACGGGTTGGCTCTGAAAAACAGACTCGACAAGAAACATGTGATGCACGTTCCTATTCAGAAGTCGTGAGGATCAGGCGCGTGATGATTCAAGAAAAGGTTGCTCTCAACCTCGTACAACCGCGTAACGTGCCGTACATGCAGAAAACGAAGACTCTCCGCTCTCGCAAGGCCTCCATCAAGACCTCCCCGATTGATCAGTCCCAGCTGAAAGAGGCCGAGACTCCCGAAATGCAGAATCTGGTGCTTGGGAGCTGGGGCTTAGCGGCTTAGCGTTGAGAGTTTACAGTCCATATATCGCGGTTCAGGTGGGATCCTTTTGGGGGGGGGCTCCCTGCAGCACCGACACCTGTGCGAGTATAAGAATGTGGAAGAGGATCTTTTGTCAAAGGGCTTTAGGGGCCAAGATAGAAGAATATGCTTGTTGTCTGATCCGGGTCTCCGAGGTGAGCTTCAGTGTGTCGTCGCCCACACCACGGCTCTACAGCCTGCCAAGCATGCGAGCTGCTGAGCGCGAGGGCTTCGGGACGTTGAGGGGGTTTGGGGCTCAAGTTTTTTAAGCTTCAGGGTTTTGATGTTTATTGGTCATGAGGTGTGTTGGTGGCCTGTAGATCCTTGGGCTCTGACTGAGCACTGCTTACTAATAAGGTCATCCGGTACATGACTTCTAAAGAGTTATATAGGGATGTTTAAGGTAGCGTACGAGTGGTTCTATAAGGGGATGTAAGGTGTTGTCATGAAGGTTGTTTATAAGGTAGTGGGATATAAGGTACGAAATCCCCCCATGAAGGTTGGGTTGTCGAGCATTCTCAAAAAGTCCGAAGACCTCAGAAGAGGCCGGAGCTGGCGGGGCACAGAAGCCTCTGGCTGCTGGCCGCGCTGGCACTTCCGGCATGTTTTGTCTTTGGATGGTGTCGTTGAATTTCGGGCTTGGCAGGTTTGAGGGCATTCTGAACGGGGTCGCATGCAAGTATTACCACGCAAGAGAGCGAATGCCAAACAGGTCTCTTGAATCTGTTGAAGGGTCTCAAGGAAGCGGGCAAAGGCCATGAGAAGTGCTGGTAAGGATATGTAAGGATCCATGATATCGAGTGACTGCGGCCGTGAGCCGTCTGTGGTCAAAGTCGTGTCCTTGTCCGCATGTGGCTTTGCTCGGATTCGTAACCGCATCACAAGCGACGCCCGAAAGACATGTGTGAGAAAGCAGGAGCTCCTGGACCCCAAGCCCTATGCACCCTATAAACCCACAAAACAAACCCTATAAGCCCTCAACCAAATGATCCCAAAACAGTTAGCAGAACCCTTGCCCATTTTGGGTAATAATACCACCAGTCAACCCATTAGACGATTATTCCTATACTCCCCCCTACACCTCACCAACTATATCGCTACTACTTCCCCAATACCATTACCAGTATAGGAATAACCGATTACCTCATCCATATAAGAGGAATATTCCTATACTCCCTACTACACCCCACCCAATATATCACCACTACTCCTTCATTACCAAGACCAGTATAGGAATAACCAATCACCCCATCCATATTCCCTAAGGTGGTATTATTACCCAAAATGGGCAAGGGCTCTCTCATAGATTTTACTAGGTTTGGTTTCAAAGGTTGTAGTCATAACCAAATCATAAGGCGTAAGCTCTTATGGCACAAGCCATCGAAAACCCAAATCCCGTCCTCCCAACCTAGAAGACTCTGCCGAGTACTCACCTCAACCCTCGCACACTACCATTCCCACCTTCTCCCGAACCTCCCCGACCTTCCCACGACCAAGGGACACCTGAGAGAATCTCACTGGCTTGACACAGTTCCAATCATGCATTGCGTGTCAGTTGACAGCATGTCTGATCTTGGCTGCATGCAGAACACGCGATGTCAATCATCATTTTAGGCTTATGTCTTATGCTGTCCACCACGAGGTTGATCCAGAGCGGGCGAATCATTTTGCAAAAGCGTGCAGTGTGCGGTGTTGCATGTTTTGGCTTTCATAAGCTTGTCTTCTCCTGTGCGCAGCATGGCAAACGACCGTGAGCGCAGCCGAAGCAGGTCTGGAAAGGTCTGGTGGGTTGCCGTAACCATGGTGCCAGAAGACGAACCCATCAAGGTTTTCGCTGACGACTTTGAGGATGAAGCAGATGTTTACGACTTCCTAAAAGAAGTGCAGAAGCATGTTCCCCATGTCTCAGTCGCTAAGATGAAGCTGTTTTCGAGCAAGTTCGCCAGCGATGGTCATGAAGCACACTTCCGCAACAACATGAAGCTGACGGAGATTCCAAAGATGGCGGGTTCATACACAGAGCCGCTTTTCATCACATATATCAGAGAACAAGTTGCAGAACAAGCCCCTCGTCAGATTTCATCTTCATGTTTTGCTTCTTTTGTTTAGGTTAAACTCCCCGCTTATCCCGCTACTTAGTCCCCTTAAGTATTTCACGCTAGGAGGTTTGGTCCTTGCTAGGTTCTTTGCTTGGTTAGTTTGGTGGTTCGGGTGGTTTCGGGTTATAAGCGTTGCTGGGGTGCATGTTTTGACTTTTGTTGTTGATGGTGTTCTACTGCCCATGCAGGCAAATGAGATGTTCCATCTGGCTGCTACGCTGAAAGGGTGGGGCAACGTTTTCGGAGCACGCCGTGCGCTGTTCACCTTGGCAGCAGAGTGCGCTGCATATGGTCAAATTGGCAAGTGCATCAAGCATATCCCTGTGCTCGGGCAGACTGACAGCATTTGCTTGGACATATGGTTTCGCTCTGAAGAGTCCCGTGCAAGGTTGATAGGTGCTGTGTTTAAGCATCCTGCCGCCACTGACGAGTCCATCCAGTTGACGCTGAAGAAGCTCAAGCGACCCGAAGGCATCGAGGCAATACTGCCGAATCACTATGAGCGGGACGTCGGCAGTCCTGAACAACATGCTAGCACCGGAGCTGGGTCGACTGCACCAGCAGCTACAAAGGCAGCTCAGCTGCGTGCAAAACTACATCTGCAGCGATTGGACAAGGTAGAGGACAAGATTTATCACAACATGCACATCATCCCAGAAGCACTGTTAGATGATGGACGGAAGCTAGTATGTGAATGGTTGTTCTTGAGTGCCAGTCCTATTTTTCACACGTACTTTGATGGTCCAGACACTGCTCCGCACATCCAAGTGAGGGTTATGAAGAGATCTCCATCATGTGATGGTCTCGTGGACTTCACCATGGTGGTGAACACTCACATGGTCGGGGCAGACACTTTCATCTCGAAGCCTGCCAATTCCTCTGACCTCCCAAAACCAGCCATTGGCTACCAAACCCTCGTAAAAGTTCCTGAAGCGCAGGCAGATCATTTCGAGCGCGCCGTCAAGTGGCGCTGCGCTTGTGTTGAAGCTGCATGGGCAAGGAAGAGCCAAGGACATCCGGTTAGCATCACTGGAGATCATGTGTGGTGGCAGCTCTTGGAGCTTCCCGCCGAGCTGCAAGTGGCCGTAGGTGAAGCCAAAAAGGCTGCGGGCATCGGTGCAGAAGTTGACACCGCCATTGCAGCAGCAGTCGACTAAGCCGCACAGGGCAGCTCATGAAGCCAGTGTGTACATATCACCAAGCACATCGGCGGAGCCGAACTTCGAGAAAAAACGGTTGGCTGCAAGCGTTGCCGAATTGAGTATTTGTGCTGCGCGCCTGTGCAGTGCCAAGCAGTCAGATTTTGCTTTCCATGTAGTGGCACGGACTGTTCAGGGTTTTAAAGATGTCTGGTTTGTTGTGATTTCCTTCCTTTTGCAGTTCTCCCTTTCATTTGCTGTGTGTGTGCATTTTCGTGTTGATTACCCCTACCTTTGAACTCGTGATGTGGGTTGGGTTTCTCTTAAGGGTCCTACTAAAAAATATTTTACGACAAACGAATTCAATCCCGAACCCAACTCGCTTGCCGTAAAATCTTGATTTTTGCGTTTTGCTTATTTGTTTTTTTGATTTGTCCTTTTTCTTCCAGACTCCCCGAAAACCATACAAAAGCACTGGAAGAACATACGCAGAACAACAACAGCAACAACAACACCAATGAAACCATAAACACGAAGCACAAGTGACCAAATTCAAAACGGTTTAGGGTGTGTTTCAAACCTTTAGCAACTCAAACCTTAAATATGATCTATCAACGCCTTCCACATAATAGTAATGTTGCCCGAATCTCTTTTCAATCTTCTCCACGGTATAGCGGTTTTGCGACCAGTTACTTATTCTCTCCTTCTCGTTCTGTTTTCGCTTCCTAAATATCTTAACTTCGTCACCCTTGTCAATCTCTGGATATATCCTATTCCGTTTACCACTACTAGCAATATTCAACCTGACGACAAACTGATTACTGGGTTTCCGTGCCTCTTTCGGTGTGAATCCTATAGCAGAATGTTTCATTTGGTTATTATATGTCAGCAATATCTCGTGAATATAATCAGCCCATTGAATATTACTTTTCCCTTTTTTCTCGTCAGCCTCAACTCGTTTATATAACATGTCCTTGAAAGTTCTGATCGCCCTCTCACTGAAATTTGCGTGAGCCCTTGTCCTATGGTGCTCTATCTTCTGTTCCTTTAGATATGTTTGAATAGCTTCTTTAGACAGAGCGCCTTCATCATCCGTATAGAGTATTTTAGGTTTTTTCCCCATCTTATGCAAACACTCAATCATACCACTCGCTAAATCCTCTTCATTTTTACTTTTTATTGCTACGACATGCATAAACTTATCAAAGACATCTATCATGATCATACCAACCTTGAATTTTTGATCTTCCAGATCATTTATAAAAAACAAGTCCATTTGATACTCGTATGCCGAATGTGGTGCTACAAAACTGTTCTGTCCCACAGGTTTTCTTTTTGCCTCAACGTTCTTCTTGAAAAACTCGTTAACATCGTCAATAGTTATACTTTTATCTTTCTCTCGTGCTTCCTTTAAGGTCCTCTGTCTGCTCCCATATCCCGCGCGATCGTAGTACACATTGCTAATAATCTCTTGCTTACTCATATAAATATCACACGAAAATATTGATTTAATCTTATTTCTAAAATTAAATCAGCATTCTTCTGTTTTCATGGGCATCACAACTTTAACATTATTCATATCATACTTCGGTCCTTTCTTATTCTGACTGCTGTTGAATTCTGCCAGTTGCTCTTCGGTTAAATCCTCTATTGTGCTATTGATATTGTTGTCTTTTAGATATTGCTTTAACTTCTTCTTTTGAATGCACTTCAAGGCAGAATCGCGTTTTTTCTGCATATATCCTTCCTCTTGTCTTCGCTTGTAGTAATACAGTCGGTTGTAAATAGCCAACTGTTCTCTTATCTCTTCCATTGTCATATCCTCTGGGGTTTTCATAGACATAATACTATACTATATATTATAATATTTCTTTAAGTGATATTTCTGAACAGAATTTTCCAAAAATATTTAGTTTTCAAAACTTATCTTCAGAAAAACATTTAAATATAAAATATTTTATAATCTAATTATATTGACATGAGCAAGACCATCCAGCGCGGTGTAAAAGCATTAGAGACAGTGTATGATTTTTATAAAGGCAGACTTAACAGTGCAACCAAAACAAAAATCAAAAATATTATCGGTTTATACGATGACAGAAAAATAGCGCAGTTCACCACAGCAGACAAACTCGTAAGGAACTTCATCAATGCCAAGACAGACCAACAAAAGCAAAAGGCAAGTGACCAATACAACAAGGTATACGAAAAACACAAGGAAAAGAAACCATTGGGTGAAAGAATGCAAACAGCAAAGCGTGACAACAAACTCACAGAAATCCGCAGACGACTAACACAGAAGACCGCAGTTCAGCGAATACAGAAGAGGGTGAGAGCGGAACAATCCAAAACAACACATGCATATTCCGTAGACCTTATGTTCTTCAAATTTAAACTCCCCAAGGATACCATCAAAGCATCCTTCAAAGACAGCAAGGGTAGACCCCTAATCCCGATCTGGTATGAGACTAAGAGAGCAACTATACAAACAACAGACTATATAGAAGACTTATCGGGCAGACGTGTGTTTCAATACGAGACCAAAGACAGGTATGTTTTCAAGAAACTGATGAAGACAATAATGTCTGACCCAGATATGGAGGAAACCCTGCGCTTCGTCCATTCCTATATAGTGTGCATCAAAGTTAAGGATGTAGACAGAGTAGATGGTGACACTGATTTTATACCAGTGGACGAGAATTTAACTGACACCTCCCATGTGAGCATGTTCCACAGATACATACAAACTCCATTAAACCCAGAATACGAAACACTAAAGGAAGCAATCAAAGTAAACCATTATCAAGAAAACCAGTGTTGGTTGAACACCATAACCGATTACTATAAGGACACACTTATGGGAGAAAAGCGCAGAGAAAAGAACAGACTGACCAGACAGAGCATGTTGACCCTGATAGGTAAGTCAGAAGAGGATTTTAAAACATCAGGTGCATCAATAAAGGAAATGGTTAAAGTGTTTGAGCACTACAGGATCCAAGTCAGAATATACAATGCTTTTGAGAGACTGATTTTTCAGTATGACCCGCCCAAACGAGATCATCATATACCAACATTATATGCCATTGTGAAGAACAACCATATATACACAGTAACCGATAATTTGAATGTATTAAGGCAGATGTTACCAAGAAACTCTGGGTATGATATTTCAGTGAAGGCTTCACCAGATTATCACCTGAATGAGAAGGACGAACCCGTTCAATGTAAAATGATACAGTCACTTAACGACATAAAGAAATATGACGAACATGCTGAGTATACATTGATATATGATGGTCATGACCTTGCCGAGCTCTTTTATGAAAGCAAAAAGGCAGGATACGAACCGCAAGTTAAATTCAGTGCAGGTATAGTATCGGAACTTAATTTTAAATTCAGGATAAAAAAGAATGTCATCAAATACAAAGTTAAGACCCAGAACCTAGTAAACAACTCCATTGACGGAACTATATCAGTGAGAACTGAGCAGATCTACAACAACATGTCTAAAGCAATGTATGTATTTAACAAGTCCTTGTTTAATCCACTACATAAGTCATATTATAACGAGATTGACATGGAATTGTTTAAGGAATGTAGAACGATAAACCCAGTTGGTGAGATAAACAGACACTACTTCCAATACAACCCACATACAAACAAAGATGACAAGATGTTTTACATGCCAGAACACACGGTAGAAATTGATATTAGAAAAGCATTCACACATGCTTTCAACAAAATTACAGAAATCCCTGTCTTCACTCAGTTTGATGTGTGGAAACACTATGATTACATGAAGCACGATCACAGGAAACTACACGAATTCACATTATACCTAGTAAAAGCAAACAAACCGACCATGTTCTTCAACAAGACTTACAATCTAGTATATGGCAGGTTTCTAGCAGGGTATGCCAACCAATGTGAGATCATCTACTACAAGCAACCCTCTAGAGTATACAAGGTGGATTACAGAAAGATTGCAAAGGATTTGTGGCAAACAGACATTTCGGACAAATACCCCGAAGATGTGAAGATAAAAAAACTAATAGCCAATGTGAATTTCGGTTTACTGGAGAAGAGCACCAACACTGTATCTAGAAGTTATGCCTTTGACAGTCTACGGGAAGCATTGTATTATCAACAGCAGGTGGGTGGAAAAATCAACAAGGTGTCATCGTTTTATGATGAGGAGGTAGATAATGGTAACGATGATGTGGGTGAGCATATAGAGAAGGAGAGTGACAAAAAGTATTATTGCCTGACCGTCTCTGACAGAGCCACTCTACGAAATGGATACATTTACATAAAGGAACTTCTTTTACAACACCATAACCACAAAATGCATGAAGATTATAGCGCACTGATCGCTAACCACATAGATGTATGGAGTGTTAAAACAGATGCATTTACGATCAGGAAGGACCACCTTAGTCTGGCAAAGAAGGTTCTACAGTTCAATGATCATATCGGCGGGTGGAGACATGAAAAGGGTAAACATATAGTAGAACCGAGAGACGAGCACAAGGTAAAAGTGAACACTTTAATGCCCATACCCGTGTTCAAAAACGATACCTTGTCTATAGAAGATGAGTGGGTTACCAAGCAGATTGCAGAAGACATTGTTAAACACAATCCTCTAATGATACGATCTAAATATGCGGGAGGAGGTAAGTCACATATTGCCAAACACTTTAGCAAACTTGGTTACAAGACCCTGTTCGTAGTTCCACAGAACAACCTATCACAAAACATACCAGATGATGCTGTAACGACAAACAAGTTTTTCTCTATACCTGTGGGAGATGGAGACAAGCTTCCTGAATTTGATCACAGCCAGTATAATGTGATAGTCTTTGATGAGATTTACATGAACGGACTGCGCGTCCTGAATTGCATAAGAGGGTTTGTGAACAACAACCCAGATAAGATCATCATAGGAGCAGGCGATGTGAAACAGCTTCCACTTGTGTGTGATGATCTGACTAATACAAGGAATGCTGGTGAATACTCTG